CGTCTGTAAGATATGGAGCTTTACTTTGGACCAGCTGGTCCCATAAGTTTGCTAGTTATTATAGGCTATGCGATAATTTCAAAAGTCTGTTGGTTTTCAAAAGTTGGTTCGATAGATTGGTTTGTTTCCATTTGAAGTTCAGCATGAAGAATAGACATATGAGCGAAGTATCGATCATAAAATGGCAACACACCATGCCTCAAAATTGTTTTTTTTACAAAATTTCCAAAAATAAGCATATCAATTGTTAAATTTATCATTTTTTTGTCATCAACGTAACATCCTATTCCATTGTAACTCTTGCTATTTTCCGGGGTCGTGTCCTAGTTTTCTGTAAACCATTAAAAGTATAGTAAATCTGTCTCAAGAACTCATTTCAATTGTTGAATTTTAGGCTGTCACCGTTCCGATTATTAGATTCTGGCAGAATTAATTAAAGAAAAAAGAAATGACATATGGAATGACGTTATTGTTAATATTAACCATTCTGCTAACAGAATATTCGGTGGTCATTGACGTAAATTAATTACGTTGACACTTAAGCAAACAAGACAGTAGAACTTATTGTTAATAGTTAGTATATGCCTACGTCAGGGACCACAGGTAGTCAGCAACACTCTTGTTACTGATATTTTAATGTAGGCTACAGTGTATGAAAATATTACTTGAGAACCCCCCACCCCTCCTTTGCTACGCATATATTAAGGGGAAGGGGCACACCTATTAAAGAGATAGGCCTACGCATATTATGGGGACAGTTTTTTTTTAATGCAAATTCAGGAAAGGTATATCTTTTCACACAAGGGTCAGTCTGTTCAGGGAACACCCTTTAAAGGGGACAATTTACGTGGTCGCGAAGGTGTCTTTTAATAGGGGGATCTATTGTATTACTTTTTTGGGCAATATGCCTAGTTTACACTTTGTGTACGAACTTTTAGTATTTTTATCATAATGTGACGTGGTTATTTTATTTCCTTATTATACTACAGTTATTCTTGTGGCGACATCGTAAGTCGGTACTGTTATAATATTTAGCTATTTCTGTTTCCTGTTCCAGGTATGATCGAAAATAACACTGTTTGATTTATTTTGTTTCACCGCGATACAAAGACATTTATTACAATTCTTTGATTAAAGGACGTTGATTTTCTTCTCTTCTCCATTTAGATAATAAGATTTAGTGCACTATGGCTTTTGCAAGGCTACTAGGAATTCATTAGATTTCTCTCGATATGCCTACATGTTTTCACTTTCCAGCATTATCCAACTCTCTGAGTATCATCAACAATGTCAATTCAGCTTTTTGCTGCTAATGTATTTTTTATGGAGGAGTTTTTTTTTTAAATAAAGATACCGATTATATGTATATATCATCCCTATTTAAAGAACACCCATATTAAGGGACACCCCTGTTAAGGGCACACCTTTCAGCCACGAAACGAGCGAAAGTAGACATTTTAGTACCCCAACCTCTATTCAGGGGACACTATTTTTGGTGTCTCCTTAATAGGGTTTGACTGTAATATTGTACTAAAATTACTACTACGGTACTACTACTCATTACTTACTATATTGTGTAGTTATTATATTTTTTAGATCATTTGCCGACCAATTCATTTTTTTTTCTGTATTGTATGGACTAATGGCATTTCTTGAATCTTGAGTGTACGAGAACTACTACTCTGCCTCTACTCCAACCCCACCACTCTCAACCACTCACAGCCACTACCACCGACCACCATCAGACCACCCACCACGGCTCCACTTACTAGTAAATACTATTAGTACTGTGTTTGTCATCAGGATATTGAGAGGTCAATTATGATTTATTATGAATGTTATTTTCAGTCACGAAATAAATTCAAGACGTCCGGAAAATATTTAACCCTCTGGATATATTAATTAATAACTGTAATCAATATTGCTTCAAATATATTTGAGATAATGCATGCTCATCTGACAAGCATCCCTAAGACATTTCCTCAAATCCTTGTCCTACAATAATAATGATACCCTGATATAACAATATGAGGCAAGTTGTTGCCATGGTATCATGTCTCTTCAACGTCCATTTTGAGATGACGTCACTGTATGATTTTTTCCCCTTTTGTGGAATATTCGTGGTGACGTATACCGATTTCATATTCGGAATATACATCGCATACTAAGGTATGGGAAGATCATGACATTTCAATGGAAAAAGCAATTACATTTTACATGATTCAGGATATTGCTAATCAATTAGTAAATATTTTTTGTTGTCATTGTTTCAATTCATTGACGCCCCTGAGTCACTATTTGTTGTTTCCTATTTCCTATATTCTCTGATCATCCTGCATTAGCATATGCTTTTCATACTGTCGCTAGCTAATTAACATTATGAGCTAACAAACACAGGCGCAAAAGTTAATGTCTATGGGAAGTCGTTTGCAATTATTCTAATTGTTCTAAAAGAATAATGGAAATGGTAATAGTAATAGTTACATGTGTATATAAATATAAATGCATATATAAGCCTGTGTGGATTTTATATAGACTACTGATATATATATATATATATATATATATATATATATATATATATTTATACATTCATACATACATACATACACACTGTAAAGAAACTGTGATACGCTCTCTTCTTAAGCATCTTGGACTACAAGATGAGATCTCCGAAGAGATACTTCATTATAAGAAATGTAACATTTGAAAAGACAAACTCTATTTGATAAGGTATATAATAATGCTAGTTTGTATCATCATTGTCTAAATGTTCAACCAGCGTAAAAGGGAATGCATCAAATGTGATTTCAAAGCCGCCTTCATATAAAAAGACATAGTTGAATGTACTTTCGATATTGTTTTTGTCATTGCATTATGAAATTCTCAGACAATCAAACATACAACCTTTGTTCTCAATTTAATTTCGTATTTAATTACCCGTTTCGAGATCAATTACAGGGTAGACACGTTTGCAGGAACTACCCGCCCTTTCTACGTTAAGCAAAATTAGTTCCCGAAGCTGCAAGCACCGGTGTACAAACACAATAACTGTGAACAGTTAGTTGACATTGGTCAGTAATAGACCCTAGTTGTGCACACTGGCTCTCTACAACGTTCTATTGGTACCCTTTAAATAACGCATAATAAGAATAGTGTCTAATAGTGTCAACAATACACAGAAAGATGGCGTCTGTATGGACTGTTGTTCATTTTTCGTGTTCGTGTATTTTGGTAGGGTTTCCAAGCAGTTTAATGTATTGGAAAACATGTTAATATTTTCCAATCGATCTTAAAATGTATTTATAGGCCTATAGAAATATTGATGAAAATAATTAGGCCTACAATTATTATGTTAATACAAATCCAATACAGTTACATCTCATTGTAAGTAGTTATCAGCCATAGGCGGATTCAAGGGTGCCCAGCCAGGGCAAGTTTTCCTATATTTTTTTTATTGAAATTTTCGGCCATCTAGACCAGTACTGATCTAGAGGTGCCATAGGCTACCATTTTGTGGTTTAGACTCTCCATCTTTAGAAGTACAGTACGTCCTCTAAACTCTGTTAGGCCTTATGTTAGTATGTGGGTGTGTTGGATATACGACCGTTTGGTAATCGTTGTTAATTCGAAGCCCGCCAACATTTTAGCCTAATATTCGTGCATATAGATCACCATCCTATAATTTTACACATACAAACAGCATAATCTGTTCATTCAGATTGGCTATGAAACAGTATAATATACATATGTAAATACATAATTTGACGCCTTTGTTATTGTTCAAATTGGGTCATATTTGGCAGTTTATTATTTGCCCCGTGTTTTACTGGATTATGGTTAAATTATAGCCTGTGAGTCATGTGTGAACCTGTACTTGTATTGTAGGCATACTCTTGTATATACCGTACTGCATATTGGCACGTTTTGTGGGATCGTTATTAATATGCTAATAATATTGTATTTATAATATAAAAGCCATCAGGTGTCGAAGGTCATTATGGCATATAAATAAACAATAGGTATATATTCAGTTCACAAATTTAATTTGTATATGCCTATACGTTTGCGAACGAAATTCGTTCCATTCCATACATTCGATTTTTTGTTTATTTCTGCCTTCTCCGCAACATAATAATGTAGAATGCCAGTTTATGCTATTATGTCTATGGATTATACATGCGCAATTAAAACAACGAGACGGGGTATTGTAGATCGTTTTTTTTTTGTTGTTGATTCCAGACGTGTGTTTGTCTGACAGACTATTCTAAAGCATGCTGCTGATAGAAAATAAAAATGTCAGTGCAATTTTAGTAATGTGATATCATATACCGTAATTGAGATGGTAATAGGCTTATATATACATATATATATATATATATAGGCATCTTTCGAAGTATATATATATATATATATATATATTCCTGTTAGGCCTAATATAGGCAAATTAATATTATTAAACTTATTATATAAATGTTTGTTTATATAAATTTTACTACAGCATTGTCTTATATAATATTATATATGCATAGGCCTATATATATATTATAATAATTATATGTATAATTATAATTAAATTATATATATAATTATATTCATATATATTTTATATAAATATATGTGAATCAGTGTCATTATCAATTATAATCAAATCAAATCAAACATTTTATTGCAGAATACTCCGTATAAAAACATCACAAGAAATATTAAAATATAAAAAATACTATTAGGCGTATCATGAAATCTATTATTGCTAAAGTGATGGGATTAATTTTCATAATTTTTTGAAAATATAATTATTCAATTCATCATTCTGAATTGGATCAAGTTATGTTTTTCTTTTGGCAAAACCGTTAGACATCCAAGGCATTCGTTTTCAAATCGAAAGATGTATAGGTTTCTGCTCTTAAAATTACAGTGTCAAAATGGTGAAATTCATATCATGAAAGTTTAAAAGTTTCTATAAGATATCCTAATTTGTATAATATTTTATTCAAAAGGTGAGTACTTATACTTGGGATGTTACTGGGATAATACGGTCAGAGCTCTGCCAGATCTTGTCTCCTGTGATCTACACTGTATCTGTTCGAACTCTATGCCCTACTGCGAGACTACCAGTATGACTGTGGACTTTTGCGTTGATCTTTGCAAATCTAAGAACTTCACATATGCTGGGTTGCAGTCTGCTACGCAGTGCTTCTGTGGAAACGAGGATGCAATGTATAGTCAACATGGTGAAGCTATGTCGTGTACAGCAAATTGCAGTGGTAACAGTTCACAGGTGTGCGGGGATGTCTACAGAAACTCTGTATACGATAGTAAGTTTTGCTTTTTAGATGTTGTTAATGATGATGATGATGATGACGACGACAACAAACGATGAAGAAGAAGACGGTAATGGAGATGATGATGTGGTGATATGCATATCACAATGTTTGCTAGCATAGAGTAATATTTAACCTATACTAAAATGTTAACTATGCTTGGACCATTATTGCACTGTGTGTCACATGCTCTGATTGGCAAACAAATAAGCTTTTTATTAAGTCGTAGTGTTACACACATAACATTAGTAGTCGTGAATTGTATGGGTTGTTATTAATTGCTATGGTTACTTGATGGGTATGTGTGATGGATTGTGAGTGTTTGTGCTATAGGAAAGGTCTTGGTGAAGGCAGTTGAAGGAGAGGATTATGATAACAATGATGATGACATAAGTTGGTGACGATGACGATGCTATAATAACCATTATATCGGGCGGATACTGTATCATTATTCATCAAAATATTAAGATGATCGCACTTGTGACGACATGATTAGGAAGACCATTATTATTATTCTTATTATTATTATTATTATTATTATTATTATTATTATTATTATTATTATTATTATC